AGAGAGAGAGAGAGCATCTCTCATCCAAAAAGTTTATAGGAAAATGTTCTGGAAAACCTAAGCAAATACAGAGACAGGGCATTCAGCTTATAAAAGAAAAGACAAGTCAATTCAGCATCACTGCTGCCTCCAATCTTATATATTTCTGGGACAACAATGTAATGGAAAAAGGCATACCGTCATCTATTGCATTTATTATACAACACAGAAAAAGCCCCTTCTCATCACATCACAAATGTATAGAGCGGGGAGTGAGTTGTAGATGCATACAAAGATATGGTATGCAGTCTTTTGATGTCAGTACATACCCTTGAAGACAGGATTTGTTCTGCAGATGCTGGCTCCGTATTCCTCGTACTCTGCCTTTGTGTGGCAAGCCTACACCAGAAGGAAGCTTCCGTATTAAATCCACACAGAATAAATGTCTTCCGGTATTAACTTAAAACTGTGCATGGTTGACTAGCGAACTAGACCTTATTTATTCATGAATATATACTGAAACTAATGATTTCATATGCACAATGCAAAGATGTAAATATTTAAGTCAAATATAGACAACAAAACCTTTCTTCTACAATTTTTGCTAGTTCAATATTTTTATGATGATTGGGTAGAGTTCAGAATTTACCTCATAAAATTCAGGCGTCGATGCAAGCACAGAACCTCCAAACCAAACTGCGTATCTCTGAAAAGGATGACTGACCACATTGACTTCAATGGGTTGAGACTATAGTCAAAACAATAGAAAAATCAGACCTTGACATAAGCAGGCGAAAAGAGAATTTGTTAGACTGCTTACTTTTACATCATCGATGAGTTGGGCGTTGGATGTTACCATCCGTGCATCCACTATCCTTTTTAAATCTCGTTGCAATCTTCTATGGAAATCCTTAAACATTGTTGATCCCCCAGATAACACTATATTCTAAGGCAGGACGAAGAACATATAAGAGCTAGAAAACCTGAAAATTAAATTGTAGAGACAGGTGATTTGATGCTTACCTTATATAAAGCCCTTCTGGTATCAATTGGTGATAACTGAATGCACTTGTCCACAATAGCAGGTAAAGGAGTGGTAAAATTATCATTGTAAATCTCAGGATGGAAGAAGATCTGCTCATACAAAATACTGATTTTTTAAAACAAGAAAGAGCAATGGGACAACATATGCTTAACGGGATTATACTTTGTTACCTCAACTTTAGAGATAATTTGATTTAGGAATGTTATTAGTACATTAGGATTTTAGTTTACGGATTTCTGGTCCGTATAATATTTACTTGTTCCTTTTCGTCATTTGAGAACCCTATTTCAGTTAGGATCTAGCATAAGACGCCAAAATATGAAGGGACAAACAGCTTGTTTTGTTTGCAAAACAATAAATAATTGATGCTTTCATTTTCCTTGTGCCTCTTTTATTATTACTCGTTCCTTTACCGCTTCTTATTATTTACCATCTTTAGTGTCTGTGTCTTTGTTTAAGAATATTTTTTAATTATTTATTCTTATTGTTTACCTATTCACTGTAGAACTGCTAAATTATCTGAAGAGCAAGTTTTGTGGATTCTTTCTTGATTGAAGTAGTTATCTATTTCGAGATCTGAAAATCTTATAATGCTTATATCACCTCTGCACCAATTTTAACATTATCTGAAGAACGTATGATATGCTTTGATACCATACCTAAAACTTATGTATGGAAATGGACCAAGAACATGATTGCAATCATAATTTGAGAATCTGAAAGATCTCTTAAAAAGTGTCAGTTCATATCATTTCATGGAAGATCCATGGAATGGCATAATTCATTTTTTACAAAAATGAAAAATTAGAATTGACAAAAAAGATAGACGAGGCAAAGTATTGATGAGGATGAACCACATCAAGAAATACTCTTTCAACAAAACAGACATTTGATTAGGCCTGACCATGATTTGGTTCGAACCGAAACCAGAACCGAATCGGCCCACGATTTGTTGGTTACAAACCGAATCGAAACCAACTTGTAACTGAACTGAAATCGACCTGTAATCGAATTGGAACTAGCCCCAGGCGATTTGGTTCTAGTTCCAATTTGAACCATCGATTCCGTAAATTTAAATTATTTTTCATTATACAAAATAAATTTATAAGTTTTTATATTTTAAACTTTTTTAATTAAAAATACTAAAATATTGGTAGTTCGAACCAGAACCACCAATTCCAGTTCCAAAACCGACCCTTGTCGATTCGATTCCGATTCCTGGTTTGGGAGAACTGGAATCGTGGTCAAGGCTACATTGGTCAACTTGTTCAATAAAAAAACTAATTTGATATTGATTGAATTACAAAGACAAGATAATAAATTATACCTCAGGACCAAGAAACCGTTCATATCCAACATCACAAGAGTATCGTGCTCGGGTCTTTGGTTTGGTACCAATCCATTGCTTTGTATATTTACTATGCTCCTTGTCATGCTTATTGAACTCCTAAAATCATAAAACAAAATAATCAATTGCCAACAACAAGTAATATAACAATTAGTAGAATTTCTTATCATTAAATCTATTTCCACAGGTTACATTACAATTAAGACTAATACTTATTTCATTTGTTCAATTTTATAATTATAAAACTCTTTGTTTGTTTTAATCCATGTACATATAGTTTTTTTTGTTCTATTTGTGGGCTGTTAGGACTACTGAAATGACTGACACTACCATTTGTGGATATTAACAAATAAAATTTAACATAACTAACCACTCATTTGAGGAAAGAAAAAAGTTCATTCATAATTTGCTGCTCCTTCCTCACAACCTCTCTATGGTAGGTTTTGGTACAAGATCATCTTTAACTGATCCACTATCAAGTTCTATCAAAATAATAGGATTATGAATGATCAGTGAGTAGTGAGGAGTCTGTTCCATTCGACAATTCTCTTTGTAGCTGGCTTATCATTCAATAAAAATTACTACATTCACGAAGTGACATTTATAACAAGAAATGACACAACAGGAAGAAAAATTTTACATGAAGCATAAAAACCCAGTAGTTTAACTACCTTAGCTTCTATCATGCATTAACTAGTAAATTAAGGACTAAATTACCTTGACAATGTCTGAACAAGTGTAGCAATATGTTTCTTTGATCTTCCTTGCTACTTCAAAAGAATCTTCTGGTGGTATATGCTCTCCCCTTTCCTACAGGGATCATGGTAGCTAATCATGAATAGCAAGTCAAATGCCATAACATATGCTTTTTAAACAGTATTGTGTCCTTTTTCATCCCCAACTTGAAGACTGAAGATTCAAAAAACTTGGAATCTAAAAACTTACATGAATGACATAATAGAAAATCCTTGCCTATGGGGTTCAGTCCTCGAATGATAGTCAAAAGTTTAACAAAGCATGCATGTGATAATTCATATTAAAAAGAAAATTAGTTGATAGTTTTGGGATTTAGAATGCAGTTTCAGATTATTTCTAGAAAGAAGCCTTTTCTTTTTTACTTTTTCTAAAATAATATAATCTAAGATATCTTTCTCCACTCGGCAGCTTAAGACTTTTGTATCCTTATCTTTTGTCAACTCAAGCTAGGTTGCATGTCAAACTTAAGATTAGTCAACACCTCAGTTCAAGCTCAAGACACCCCTAACTCTCTACTCTGAACCATTGCACCTACATCATCAACCATAGGTCCATGAAAAGCCTTGCTTATCCTCTATCCTCTACTCTAAAACAGGGTCATCTGTGTTCTAGCTGATATCTCTGCCTCCATCCCAACAAAAAGCTCTCACTCTCTCCCTTCATATCCCTCTCTGCATGTTTCTTCCACATTACTGTCCTTCTCCATCCTCTTCCCACAGTTTTCTGTCGCTCAGTTCCATGACTTGAAACTGTTTCAGAACTGAAGGATAATGTTAATGATCAAGGCATGTCAAGGGCTTTTCTTGTTTAAAACCAAACTTCAAAATGTGATCAGATGAGGAACATCAAGGAGTACTCAATAAAAACCTAAAAGTTTCTCTTCATAACCCATGAAACTTGTCAAGACACTAATAACACCTTCCTATTATATATCATCATTTGTCTTAGTTACAACTCAGCCATAGCGCCGTACCACCAATGGATCAAGAAGAATCATTTTACTCTTTGGAGTGAAAGAAACCAAAATGCCAGAGGTTAAACCATAACATCCCAAGGAAGCATGGGCTCTAGTACTCAAGGTGTGAGTCGGTTGACCTCCAAAAGGACATCACTACAGGAACGCTGTACATGTTCAGATCCATACCAAAATCCCAACTATGTTCAAAACTGCTTGGTTAACGCAATTCTCAAGGCTTCCACATTTGCTCTCACTGGGTAACTCTTTCCTCCTATACCATCCTTTTGATACAAATAGGATGATATATATTAAAACCAATAAAATAGGTCATGCATATCTAGCTTAGCCAACCAAGAAACATCAGTATCATTCAATTGACGAATGCCTATGACAACAAGAATGTCAAGAAAACAATAAATAATATCAAAAAGCAAAACGACATCTTGAGGACCAATCAACAAGATGGTGTTTACATATTTGACAAGATATGTTATGCAAATGAACCTCTACATTCAAATTTTCCCAAGAATTTCAGCTCAACACGTTCTATTCTAAAAAAATTATGAATCTTTAACTCTAACCCATCACACAGATTAGAGAATTCCATGCTCATAAGTCATGCACAACAAATCACCAGGTAATATGTTGTATTCTGCCTTCCCTTTTCTCGAATGCTAGAGCATCTCTCCCTAATAAGGGCAGGTGTTTGATACTCATCTTCTGCAAACCATGCATTTCTCAAAGTTATGGTGGATAATGCCCCTCCATGGGGCTTTGTGGGCTTATTGGCTTAAATTAACTCGAATTGATCTTGTGCCCTACTCATGGTCCAGGATGACTTACAGCTTGATGACCAATGTGAGGGCCTAGTATCCATTCCACTAAAAGAGAACATGTCGGGAGAAGGCATAATAGGTGTAATATCATTGTTTTCTACCTTCATAAGTTGCTGAATAAACTGGGTAGCATCCTTGCCCGCAATAGGTATCGATCGGATACTACTGCCTATTACATAACCATCTGCAACTGGGACAACATGTGTAGCACCATCTCCAACGTCAACCACAACTCCCGTCATTTGACACTGAAAATTATACAGGTCAACATAAGCATCATAAGGTAAATCATAAAACTAATTATTTTGAACTGCATGACTGTATACCATCTCAAAAGTTACTTTAATGGGAAAAACTCAATTAAACAGTGTGTATGAAAAGTTATGTACAACTTCATCTATGGAAAAATAATATAAATAGGTCCCCAAATGGAATAATGGATGCAGGATATAAACATAAACAAGCGACTTGAATTGACATGAGAAAAATATTCTGTTATCTCAGATTGTACATGATCAAATTATATTCCTACAAACAAGTCATCTAGTAAGAGATGTAAGTTCCAAAAGAAACTATGTCCATAGTGCTAAGTCAGCGACTTATTAGAAATTACTTTAGTCAACATAATACTCAGGGACTATGCAGTCTTCATTCTGATACAGTGTGTTCTTTATTCCAACCCACATTTGCAGTACTTCTATCTAACAGGCACAGAATGTGGTCTTATAGCACCCTAAGAAGAACAGTAACACATTAATATGCATGTTAGATAAATATAGATTGATAAGTCTACCACAACAAACTCTATTGACTAAATCTAAATTGGAACTCTTAGCCCTGTCCCAAGATTATTGTCGTCTAGTTCCAGTCAAAAAAGGAGGTTACCATCAACAAAAACATTTTGTATCTATTAGCCGAAAACTATGCTATTGTTACTTGTAATAGTTGTTCGTCAAGATAACATTTCAAGTTCAAACTGCATAAGTATGCAGATACTTTGATCAACACAAGCACAAACTCAATATTTGGTTCCCAAATATTTGTACAGTGTCATATTAATCTCATACCAACAGTATCAATATTACTTTGTCCCTCAAACTTTTTTTTTTTTTTTTGCAAAGGTAAGTCGTGAAGACTGGATTCGAACCCAGGTACTTGTGATATACTGTCAAAGTCTTTATCAGCTAAGCTTCTTCTTAGGAGTCCCTCAAACTTGCAATAACTAGTTAGAGCTTTCTTAGGTAAATCATACTATAATAATTTTCCCAAGTTGCTTTCTTCAAGTATTGACATAAAATAAGAAATTATGAGTTCAAAACAGGGAAAATACCCTAATCATTATAGAAATGCATAAAATTCCTACACCATCAACATTAGGAATGCAATATATCTGTGAAATAATTTCTTAAATTAAATTTAAAAACACAAACTGGAAGTTGAGTTACATAACAGAAGTTTTAGATATGACTTCAAATATATATCACAAATGTCAAAATTATCTTGAAAAGTTGCTAACACCTACCTTTGAAGTTGTGTAACCAGCAGCAAGGGCTAGGACAGGTTGAACCGCTATATACAATCCAGGAATATTGAATGTCTCAAACATGATTTCCCCTGTATATTCACGACTCTCAGGAGCAGTAAGTGGACTCTCGGTCAGAAGAAAATAGTGATCTTCTGGGTCACAACGTAAATAATTGAAGATGCATTGTTGCCAAAATCTTTCCATTGCATCCCAATTCTCCACCTGCAAAAAGGGCACTGTGAGCTTGAAGGAATCTCCAAGGAACACAAAATTGCAACGTACTGCTTGTCATTATCATACCTGACCATGATGAATAGGGTAACTAAGACCATATGTAGTACTAGAGCGAGAATACAATAGAGCTTCTTCTCCAATTGAAAAATCAAGATCAGCCATTACACTTGCACTGTGCTGTGCAACCCAATTTCCTTTACTGATACTCTTTGATTGATTTGAAAAAGACTCATTGACAGCAACCACAGTAGGGATGATGAAGGAAGGTTCAACATTGCCAGCAAATCCCATTTTTGTGTACCTAAGAAAAAGTAAAGCATATCATGGAAGCAGAAATATAATCAGAAGTACTCATAACTGACTGCAATCAAATGAAAGATTATCAAAGATTATCTATTAGCTGTTTACTATAATTAAAAAAAAGCCAGAAGAAAGCATAATTTTGCAGGAAAAATTCATAGCAAGGCTAACTTGTCAATACCTAAGCTTGTAAAGAGGCATTCCATTAGACATGGATGGAGAACCCAGGTTAAGGTTCAGCCAGCAATGTGGTCCTAAAATTTCCCCAACTCCTGGTCACTGAACCAGCATTTTCAGGGAAGATGAAACCTTGGGTCCAAGGTCTCTCTGCTTAAAAAATTAGGACCCAATCACTTTATTGACTTCAGCTAGAATGGTCATGAATTTTGTATAGCCCAACAAACTCCTAGTTTAGGAAGAGGAATTAGGATTTAATAATATAAAGATGATACTGCTCCATCCTACTTTCTGCAATATTATGATCATGATAATCTTTTTTGGATGAAACCACATTAAAACAATAATTTCTCAATTACTCAATCATTTAGCTTATTTTAATGTATCATAACCCCGTTGACTAGTGTACTTATAATATGTCTTTCAAACATGATGAGATATTCCTAACTTAGTAGTACAAAAATAGGCTTCAGTCAGTCCAGTTTCAAATCTCCAGGACAATAACGCATGGTTTTCCTTATACTCTTCGTCTGTTGGACCTCTGGCATTCCTTCTCTGTTAAAAGGCTTTTGTGTTCACCGATAATTACATTCTTTGATGCTGTCGATTTCCTTCCAATTTTAGGCAACATCCATTAGAGAATGTTTGGTACCAACCGGACTTCCAAAAGCCACAACCTTATCTTGTCCATCCAACACATCACACGCAGAAAAGACTGCACATACCCCTTACTACATCCCAGTCTAGAACCACAGCCATATCATAATCTTGACAAAATCGACCAAACAATCCGGTATCTGTTCTTAGACACACCTTGAGATGTCCTTGCACATATCACTTCGACCTCGCTGTTCCATAACTTTTCCACCTTTTTAAAGATTTCCTAGCCGACACCAAATTCACTTCAGGATCGGAACTCAAAATCTCCAACAACAGTTCATCGACCAACTTTCACCTCAAGTTTCCGATTTCGCACGCAATCGAGGATCAAACCGACATAACAAGAAGCATATAAATGCAATCAAACTTGCAGGGAGTCAAAAGAGTGACGCCATCAGTACCCGGAGCCGTTGTCGATGACCACCACGGGCCGAGAGGCAGCGTCCATCTGGATGCTTCGGGGCGGGTCTGTCGGCGAGATCCAAGGAGCGGGAACGCCGGGGGCAACCACTCATGGTATTGGCGCCGTCAGGTGCGGCGCTACCGGGGATCCCGGGCCGAGAACGAGGAGGCGAAGGAAAGCGATGGCGTGGATCCGAGCGGCTCAACGCGAATCCACCGTCGCCCTCTTCCGACACGTAGCGGGCGAGCGAGCTCTCGATGGCGACGCCAAGTATATATTGGCCATAGATGCCTTCGGCCTGAAGCATTCCGGCCCTCTCGATGTGTTACTCCGCATTGCTGTCGGCGGCGGTAGTTTTGACGTCATCGTCACGTTCAAATCAATTTTTATTTAGTTTGTAATAAATATATTAGAAAAAATTATTTGGTTTTTTTTTTTGTTTTTGGAAATTTTGTCCTTAAAATTATCAAAATCCAAATACTTGTAAACACTATAAATATATTATTTTGAATTAAATCATACAGATAAATCATTTTTAATGGTAATGCAGAACCGGTTCTCTATATCGTAGTTTTGGACACCGGTCTGACTCGGGCTCGGTCCGAGTCGAGTCCTATTAGTACAAGGCATCATCCTTGGCTCGTCCGAATCGAAGGGTAGAAGAAAGCGGCGGCGATCGGCAAAGGAGCAGGAGAAGATGGTGCGGGTGGCGACGTTCTTCGCGATGAGCTTCGGCGCCTTCCTCTTCTGGCAGTCCATGGAGAAGATCCACGTCTGGATGGCTCTCCACCAAGACGAAAAGGTCTCCCCTTTCCCCTTTCTCGTCCTCTCTCGTCTCATTGTAGTTGGATCTGTGATCGAGAAACTCATGTGGGGAATGGCGACCAAAACCTTAGGGTTAGATTCGATAAATATGATCTCTCATGGATTGGATGGAGCACCAAACATCTCTTGCCTTTCTGCTCGTATTTAGACCCAGTCGATACTGGTATTTAGGTATTTCCAGGAAGACCATGCAAGAAGAAACTTCGTGTTACTGTTCAAACCTTCATGGGTTTCTTCTGAAATCACAATTTGATTAATTGATTCTGTTTTTTCTTGACTTTCTTCTGCACAAATTCTCTTTTTTTTTTCCACCTAGTTATTAATAGTTCTTGAGTTCCTTGATTTCTAAGAGATTTTTCTTTACTGATCTCCAAGTTACTAATAGCATACGAGTATTAGATCTTCTCTTATAGAATTCAGTGATAGGACAGGATCTCTGAGCATTTGATAAACCAAGGTAAATATGCTACTTACACATTGGAGGGGGAAATTGGTTTATTTTCTGGCATACGAGATCCTATGTATATCATTTACCCAACATTAGAGGACTTTGATGTTTAGACGGCAATGTTCTCCATTTTTGTGGCTGACTACTGGAAGCAAGGCAGTGGACCTTCATAGTTTTAGTGCATGATTGTCTTTGTCTCTTTCCTTTCTATGTACACTATGACAATAGGGCCAATGTAGAATCTTTTGAGTTTTGACCAACTTACTGTTTTACATGATGTTTCACTCTTTGTACTCTGGGCATTGTGGATCTTGGTATCATGTTAATCATATTGTTCCTGTGGTTATTTAAAGGATAGATTTGTTGATGTGAAGTGTTACGATTTTATCAGTTAGTGTTGCTTGAATGATCAAACATTTGACTCGAAAATCCAGTCTCTGATTCTACTAACCTTTGAGGCATCGATAAAAGTCCATGTTGAAGTTACCTCTGTCGGGTGCATTTTCGCTTACTGAATCACGTGGTCTATTGTCTTGAATTTTATGCCACTGTATATGCATGATTACACCATTATTGCAATAAGAAAAATATGGCATATACACATGCTTCATTTTTTTTGTTAATTTCTTCAAAGGCACTCTCAGTTTAAAGTATTGCCTTCTACCAGATTGTTGTTTACGATTGATGATGCATGCATTTTGATATCTGTATGAGATCATGAGTGCCTATCTAGCTATTAAAGGGGTACATAAGCAAGCTTTAAACCGAAGGCCATCTGAATAATATTTGCTTCTCTTTGTTCATTGAGCTTTTTTAAATTCTAAATTTATCAAGTGCTCTTCACTATACTTTGTTAATTTGAACAGAAATGTTAATTTCAAGATTTATTTCTCTTTCGTAATTCATCTGATACTATCATGAATACTTTGATTATTTGATAGGAGATTCCATCATCCTTTTTTTATTTGTGATGAGTGTATATTTTCTTTTTCTCTTCATTCAACTTGGTTCTGTTAATGTGTAGTCATAAATAACAAAAGTGGAATATTGAGTTTTTGAGGATGAAGTTTACGTTTGTACATGCAACTTATCAAAATTGAATTCAAACTATTTATTATTAAATGCAGGGCCGAAGGGATTTAATAAACTTACCAAGGTTTTAAAATGCTTCTGTCACATGTACTGAGTGGCTGATACGTTACCTGTCCATGAGTAACATGGGACATAGATACAGTGATAGACTACTCCCCACATATTGGAAATCATGCCACCTGATGAGTTGCATTCTTGTTTTAGTGATATAACTTCTGTTTGCTGTAAGCCACAAGGTTTTATATTTGTCGAGGTTCAATTAACTAAAAAAAGTGCAAACTAGATGCTTAGTGTTTGCTTGTAGACTATCTCTAAATCAATAGAAAATCAAAATAAACCTGATGCTCCTTCATTCCTCATTTGGAGGAGTAATCTAGCTTTGCCTGCAAAAGGTTCTTCCATCATGTGACTTGATTGATGGATGACTTGTCTTAATTTGTTTCAAAGATGTTTTGGGAGAGAGGCTTCTCTGTGCTGTTACATTTTTTAAATATTTTTCTTAATCTATTTTAGGACTTAAAATTTGGACTTTTTTTGCAAGATTTAGTTTATTGCCACGTTGTTTCAAGTTCCTCCTATATTTTTTAATGCTTATTCTGGCTTTTTAGAAGTTATTTATAACTTTTATAATTAGGAAATGGATTAGGTGTCTAACTTAAGCAGCCTATTAGTAACCTGGCTTAGGAATTCTGTTCACATTGACTAGGCCAGTAGGATGTTAGGATCATGGAAAATGGCATGCGTTGCGTGATTCTGAAACTTCTGGTAGCATTTTGTGGTTTTAATTCCCTTTTCTTTCTTCCAGTTGGAGAGATTAGAGAGGGAAATGGAGATTAAGCGACTCAGAGAGGAGCTATTGGCGCAAGCCAGACAGACGGATTAACTTGTGTAATCTTTGTTACTGCCTGAAATGCTTGATTCGTAGGTGAATTTCGGATTGCTAAAGCTGAGGTTTCTCAGAAAAACGATATCCTCTTTCCATTTTACGCTATTAATAAATAAGCTAGGAGTTGATATTTCAAACTTCCCCTCTTTATCATGTATTCCAAAGTTTGCTTGATGTTATAATAATCTGAATCCCATGAAAGTGCTCTTATTGAATTGTCTTGAAAAAGCAGATGTTCCTTAATGCATTTCGACCATCAACTATATGTTTGCTGTTTCATGCAAGTCTTCTGCATGAGGATATATAATTATGACAGCATGTGTAGCAATGGAAATCATGTTCCGCGCTTGTTGCATTTGATTCCTTAGTCCTTTTGTCTTTGTGCAGACAGCATAAGCATGATATTTGGTTCAAAAGTAAGGTCTCATAGTCATCATCAGATACCAGGCCATTAAATGTGTTTGCCCAAATTGGAGCTTTATCTGCAACACTTGCACAACTTGGTTGAAATCACATTCTTATTATATTGTAGCATCCCATGCAAATGAAATGGCAAGAAGCTCAAGACATGTTCAAGTTGCATCAGCCTTTCCTGTGAACTAGAAAAAAATCCATACAGGAATATCTGAACTTTTCTTTCAGAGTGAATTATCTTTGAGATCAGTAAGTTTTCTTGTGCCTACTCTGTTACATCATCAAGGTATCTGAGAGCTTCTGAGATTCAATGAAACCAGTAGTTGTAACAGCATCACTCAGTTTAATCAATTCAATTGCAAGAACAAATAGTTTCTTTCTCTGATTTCTTGTCCACCCCAAGTATCTTCTTCAACCATTCTCTTATTGTCTGAGGTGCATCTATTCCATGTATTCTTAAGTTTTCTCCAAACAAAATTATGCTTCATGTGTATTCTTTAAGGTTTTCTCTTGAACAAAAAACATAAATTCATTCAGCAAAAGAGCTCTCAAAACTTGTTTTAAAGAATACAGAACAAGTGACACCTTCTAAGCAATTGGCTAGCATTGAAATCATATTCTAAGCAATTGGCTACTTATGTGCAACCAAAATTGTGAGGATGGCTGTAGTTGGAAAGGCTTTCTAGACCCAACTAGAACAAGAATCCAGTCAAGAATACCCTGTCATACAAGAATTGCAACAAATGATCATAGAAACTTGTTTCATGGGGAGAAAATAGTTGTTGTTGGTCTTTCTCTCTGTGGTTTGTTATAGTATCTGGAGCTCATCAAACATAATAACTATCATTCAGAAACTCCAAGCCTTTTCATGGCATAATGAGATAGAAGTACATGAATATCCATCATAAGGTCAACTATAGTTGGGCTTATTTAAGTACTGCTACACAACAAACTAGTAGAAACTGCATGCTTTATTCTAAACAAACTCAACAATCCATCCTTACCTTGACACAGTGAAAGACAAAAAGCATGACAAGTTCAACATGTGGTAAACCTGCTCACATCAACCATAGCATCTGATAGGGTCATCGCACCCTTTTCTTGCAGATTGCTTCAGTCCTCTTCCACCACCTTTCTCTAGATATTGCTGATGGTACTCTTCTGCTCTGTAAAATCTCTTTACTGGTAGAATCTCTGTCACAATCTTGTCCTGGATCTCATTCTGTTTCAGTTCCATAGATTCCCTTGCCAATATAGCTTGTGCCTCACTATAGAAGTAGATCCCTGATCGATACTGTGTGCCAATATCATTTCCCTGCACAACATCATACATACATGCACTGCATACCTTTTTCCCAAGTATATGACAATTATGTAAGGTTGGAGCTGGAAAATAGAATCAAAGGATCAATTACGGTTCCTACGGTACAAGTTGCCAATATATGATCGACCTCCAAATCTGTCAACAACCATCTTGGATTGACTTTGTTCTGTCAACTCGATAAATGGTGATCTGAATCCAAGAATGCCCCCAAAAGAGTAACCTAAGATTGATTGGTTAACGAATTGACTTGTTCTCCATGAACTCACTAATCAAATACTTTTTGGCCAAGTCAATTCAATCTTAACAGTTATATCTAAAGCTATAAACACATGTATCATAACACGCTCAAACAAAAATATCATCAATAGAATTAGAAGTCGATAATCAATCATATTACAGAAATCTTGATGCTTGGGGAGAAGAAGAAATCAGTTTTTGATTGCTGCTACAGATTGTTAGTTGACATTTTCGATATTTGTCATATAAGATGTTGAAGCCCGATTATTGATGAGTCAATCAAATGCTCTAACACCAATTTAGGGTTTCTGATACGAAATTTCTTGATCGAAGTCTTGAACTCAAACTAAGGTAAGTGAGTCACCAAACTAGCATTTTAAGTGTGTAGATTGCAGATCATCGTCGATGAATCTCAAACATACGAAGAAGAAAGAGAAAAGAAGAAGAAGAAGGTAAATATCAATGTAGATCACGAACCACGGATGCATACGAGCGTTGAAATCACAAACAGATGGTGGCGACGGGCCAAAAACGAGCACGCACCTGGCGATCGAGGGTGGTGGGGTCATGACGAGACCAGAAGAGGGCGAGGAGGGCGGGGTAGGGGCAGGCGGCGGGGTCGAAGTGCACGCGGACGACCTCGGCGTGGCCGGTGTCGCCGCCGCAGACGGCCCTGTAGGTGGGATCCGGGAGGTGGCCCTGCGAGTACCCCACCTCGGTCTTCACCACCCCTTCCAGGCGCTGGAAGGCCAGTTCCAGCCCCCAGAAGCACCCCGCTGCAAATTGCGCCAGGTGGAGGCCGGGCTGTGCCGGCGAGTCTAGGTCCGATGCCAGAGCCGAGTTCGCACCTTCCGCCGTCGCCGCCATTCTGCCCTTCTCCAGTGTCGAACGGGGTGGGTATGCGAGGCTTTATAGGACCTGCCCCACGGGCTTGCGGACTGTGGATTGCTGCTCATATCGGTCAGTGGAAATAATGGGATGACAATAATGTAATTATTCAACAATGAATATATATAGAAGTATTAAATCCCTATAAATACTATATTTTTATTTCCACTTATCCCAGACAACTATTTTATGATGATGATGATTTCTATGTAGATCAGACAAAAATTCGAGATCCAGCCAAGAATTCACCGAGCAATCTCATCAACAACTGATTTAGACAACTTGGAGTTGAAAGATTGTAGAACAGCATTTACATTTCCCTATCAAGATTAATCCATCAACACCATATACACAAATTTCCATTCTTATCAGCAGAAGCTAGTGTGTTCCCCATCCCATTCCATGAGCACGAGAGGACTGGCGAAGAATGCCCTTCTAAAACGCTTAGCATGTTATCCTTTACCCTCGACCATATGTAGATGAATCCATCAGCTGATCCAGCTGCGACAAAGTTCTCATCGGCACTGATACAAGACCTGCTCCAATTAGATGCGACTCGGTTTCCATTGGCTTTGAACGTCCCACAAACTTCCAGTGTTCTCAAGTCGAATAAGTTATGAAAGTTATCCCTGCCGCTTGTCAGCACCAAGTTACCACTTCGCGAGACACAGATTGATGTCACTGCCTGCGAATGAGCAGCTACTTCACTTACAGCTTTTCCCATTCTGCTGTCCCATATTCGCAGGTTCCCATCCACATGACCAGAGCAGAAGGTCAGTCCATCCATGCTGTAGGAAAGGGCATTGCAGTTGCTCTGGAAGATGATGGTACTGGTGCAGTAGCCTTTCACTGGATCCCAGACCTTCATGGTGTGATCATAAGCAGCACTCACTACATTGCGGCTGGAAACCTTGCTCGTGTCGACCGCGCATACTTTGTCGGTGTGGCCAGTGAGAGTGTGCTGTACCCGACCAGAACTAGTTTGCCATACATACAGGTTGTTGGAGCTGCTGGCAGCAATGATAGATCTGTTGTCATGGGTAATTGCAAGATCAAGTACTGACCCAAGGCAACCATGAAGAGTAGAACTCAGTGTCCCAGATCTTGTATCCCAAACCTTGACTGTTCGGTCCTGACCGCCACTAATCAACATATCCGAGTTGTGTTGGAACAGAATGGATCCACATCCACCATCATGGGCATGAATAGTATGCCTGCAAGAAGATGGAATTGCTGATTCCACATGGTCTGCATATCCTGGTTCCATTTGGCGAACCACCCCATCAACTTGTTGCCTTGCAATATGTTCAGAGCTGGATACCTTTAACTGTTGCATCAGCTCGTCATACAGTGAATTAGCCTGCAACAATGAAAAAGGAAATTAAAGGTTGAAGATAACAACATGCAACCTCCCAGCCTAGAACCTCTCCTTGCATCTCAGAAGGATTTCATTCACAATCTCAATTTCCTAGAGTTAACCCTCCCATAACTTCCAGGGCCGTGTAAGATTTGTTGGTAACGTAGTCATTAATTGAAGCAATTATGCAGATGTGCGAAAAGATAGAATAAAAAAGAATATTCAAGAATCATTAGGTACATAGCCCTGATAAAGGATAAAATTACAGGAGAACTGTTTAAGATGGCGTACAAATGTTCAAAGGATACCTACAGATGTCATGCATATACAAGGTGAATTGATTAGGATTAATGGTAGAAGGATAATGAATCCATATAACCTACCAAAATAGTTGAAAATTATGGCTTGTTAATTGTTATTATTGTAATACTTAAGGAAAGCTAGACAAATAAGTTGATCAACTAAGATATTAACACACACAAAAATATTAAAATATTAACACAAAAGATATTAACCCAATTAACATATATATACAAAAAAAAACACTAATAACAAATTTGATATACAATCTACATTAACACAAAACCAAGATATTGTGCCTCGCATAGACATAGTATTTAATTAAATATTTTGAGAAAGGTATATCTGAGAAAAACAAATCCTATCGATATGAAGTAGACAATCATTCATAAGGCTGGTAATGCAAATGACAAATCAAAAGGAACAAAAAGTTCCTCTAGTGCAAGCAATTATCACTAGAGGAATGTAAAGTACCTCATTCAGCTTTTCTGCAGTATTCATCTTCTCCAGCATCCAACGATCAATTAAATCCTTGTTCTCAGTTTCGGCTTTTTTCAACTTCAATCTAATCTCCTCATGTTGCAGTTTAAGTGACTGGCTTTCACTCGTTAACAAATCCAAGGCTTGTGTCTTTTCATAGAGATCCTGCTTAAGTTGTAGGTTTTCTTCCCTGAAGTTTTTGGTTTTATGAAGTGAACATTAATTTTACTTTGCTCAATGAAGAGCCATTTAATTAAACATGTAAGATACCAGATGTAAGAAACATTTAATTAATTTTACTTTGCTCAATGAAGAGCCATTTAATTAAACATGTAAGAAACCTTGCTTGAGAGATGTCATATTGCAAATTCCTGATCAATTCTTCTTTCTCTTGAACAAGAGCTTTAGATGTTCTGCACTCTGCAACTTCCACCACAAGCTGTTCAGACAACTGTGCATGAGCTTTGTAACAGTGTTGCAACTCCATTTCAAGGTTTTCAACTTTTTCCTTCCACTCTAATCCCTGCTAGAGGTTAATGCTTCACAATACAAGATACTCAATGAAGAAAGAAAAATAAGATTGCCATCAAAGAAAATATTTTTTTTCTTTAAGTCATCAACCACTGAATAGCCAACGTAGTGTAACATAGCAATAGAACAAGTGTCATTTAAGATTAAATTCAATACGCTAGGTAGGACCTCATCAAGAATAATAGAATGGGTACAAAACCAGATCAATAATTCATGGCTAACGCTGGTAAAGATTATCTCAGGACTATTGAATAATCTTATTAGTTATAATCTTATTTCCCAATGTATGTTGAGATGTTAACGCAAACTGACCGTAACATCCAGTTGGGACACTACTGACTTGTATAAATATTATGCCCAATATATAACTAATAATCTTATTAGTTATAATATTATTTCCCAATGTATGTTGAGATGTTAACGCAAACTGACCATAACATCCAGTTGGGACACTACTGACTTGTATAAATATTATGCCCAATGTATAACTAATAATCTTATTAGTTATAATCATGGTATGCAGTATCGAATAGTACCGCCCGGTATGGGCGGTACGTACCGGTCCGATGGCATACCGGTACGCGGACCGCCCGGTACCGGACGGAACGTGCTATAGTGCTACAGTATTATACTGTAGCAATGCTACAGTGCTACAGTAAAGAAGAAAATATATAAAACTGTTCGGTACGCCCTGGTGTACCGCTCGGTATGCCAGTACCATACCGTACCGAGCCAACCTCGAAACACCGGTACGGTACGGTATTGCATACCTTGATTATAATATTATTTCCCAATGTATGTTGAGATGTTAATGCAAACTGACCATAACATCCAGTTGGGACACTACTGACTTGTATAAATATTATGCCCAATGTATAACTAATAATCTTATTAGTTATAATCTTATTTCCCAATGTATGTTGAGATGTTAATGCAAACTGACCATAACATCCAGTTGGGACACTACTGACTTGTATAAATATTATGCCCCAATCTCTAACCAAAAAACCCTGCCAGCAGTGCACTTCCTAACCTCATCCTCCATCCTTCCCACTCCTCTTCCTGATTCTCTCCAATTCCAACCAACTAGTTATGAAAGATGTGAATATTGATATAAGCCCCTTGACAGACATAACTGAGATCGAGATGCCTATTCTAAGCTCATTCTCTGAAAGGTTGAGGTTGGTGGAGGTCAATCTCCATAAGGATTGCATTAGAGATATGATTTATGATGGATGGAGAGGTTAATGCAGTGAGACAAGATGACAAGAGTTTTTCCTGAAGTTGAAAAAGAGATGAGGAAGCATGTGAGGTAGTTAAGACAAACGCCTTCAATAAACAAGCAGGCGATGGAGCTGCAATAGCAAGAGATGTGCCATGCGAAACTATTGTAGCCACATCTAAATCTTGTGAACTTTAAGTAGGTCAACGTGGGAAGCATCACATTAACTAAGCATCAGCTACCTATAGCCTAGAAACTAAGCAATACATAAGCAAGAGTCTAATACGATTTTGCACTATGTCAAAATCAAGAGTCTAATCACTTTTTGGTTTCAAAATTTGCCCTTTTTAGGACAAAAATCAAACACCCTTTGTGCATGTATACTTCGATTCCACGGAGTTCACATGCCTCTATAATTAATACTGGTTATGATCTCATCGTTCAAATCTATATGAAGAACCAAAATTAACAAGGGTTATCAACTAACAAACAACCAAAGGTACCTGGGCTACAAGGGGTCTGGAGAGGGCCTTAATAGCCGGAGCGTGGGCGCCTTCCTCGAGCAAATGCCGCTTCCGGAGGGCTCTGATGGCGCGCTTGATCGCCGCCCTCCCGACCTCATCCCGTCTCCTGGAGATCGGAAAATACTCACAAAAAACAGAACTCTAACAAACAAAAAGCTACCGAACGGCTTGCGGTTTGCTTACATCTCTCCAAGGCTAAGCTTCGAAAGAAAATCTCGTAGCTTTGGGGCGTCGCTTCCTCGATTTCTTCCTTGGCGTTCTTCGCTCCGAGTCGATGCGTAGAAAGGTGGGAAAGAAGAGACCGAGGTGAGGCGAAGGTTTCTCGACACGGGTTTGACTTACAAAGCCGAGCCGA